TTGATTTGATTAATAAACAGCGCATGTCTATCAAATCTTTCAAAGTCTTTTAGCGTAAAGGAAATTGCAATTTATGGATAATGGAAAATGTGCACACAACTCAAAACCCAGAAAAAACTGCATTTTTCTCTTATATGCAAATTAGATTGCCTTGAGTTATAAACTGGCCGGAAGTGATGTTCTTCTCTGTAACGAGGCCGGTGCAAGCACAATCTAAATGACGCTGCAAACGAAGTTGTCAGCGGAAGAACTATCACTCATATCAGACATAAGTATTTTGGAAGACTTCAAAGAAATACAAAAAACTTTCAAAAATAAATGGAAACATAAAAAAAGTTATCATAGGTGGTTTATATGTTTAAAAGATAAACCTTTTCTCCTTTAGATTTAATAGCACAGAATTGAAGATGGAGAAAATGTCTGATTTAAGTTACTGCGTTTTACACATGTCAGAAAAAAACAATAATATAGGCCTAATAGCACAAAATTGAAGATGGAGAAAATGTCTGATTTAAGTTATTGCCCTTTGTACATTCACAAACGCAGACAAATGGAATCCGGTGAAAAATGCATGTGTCTGCATTGGCCGATACCCCACCCAACTGACGTCCAATTTCAAGTACCTCATTTTTGGCATAATTCTCCCCCAATACAAAGTCTCCCAAGTCAGGAATATTATTTCAATTGAGAAAGACATTGTATAAAATCATACACTTCATTATATTTGAGAAATACTGCTTACGAACTAAGAAAGTGTGCATTGCTATTTCGAAAAATATCTAGGCTTATTCTTTGAAATTCTACCCTCCCCCGCCACATCCCCCTTTCTGCTGCTACGATTCAAACAAACCGCTTTCAACACTCAGCGTGTAGTGTGTCAAAAGTGTTAACTATGTATACGCAAATATACATAAATAACATAGTGTATACAACATATTTTTAAAATCTGGGGGAACAAACATAATACAGATACTGAAGAGCATTCTACATCTGAACCACCGATGCGCGCATAGTGTAAAGAAATAAGGCCACCCGTCGGACCAGGGAATTATATCGGACCTTCCCCATCCCTTTCAAACAACGGTGTTGTCAAGCTCGAAGCCTGGGTTCGGTTGGGCAACACAACAAACACATCACAATATTTTTAAAACCCAGTAACCAGTATGCCCTTTTCTTTAAAATACCAATTTACATCTTTATTTCTGTGGGAGGCAGCAATTTACATAATCACAGGTACAAATGTTTATAGGTCTAGCTCTACCGGTCACAGATGAGCGTGCTTAATGCAGTAACAGTTAAGCCCCCTTTACACACTGGACGGGGCGAATCCAGAGATATTTTCTGACAGTATTCCAAATTATCTTTGTTGGCTTATCCTCCACTGCCCCATCTCCACCCCCGCACGCGCTCACACACACACACACACACACACACACACACACACAGCAAGAAGAGCATCAACGAAATCTTGAAAAATCTTGACCGTCTTCCGGAAGACCCAGAAGATGGCCTCCATCCACGTGCACCCCTGTAACTTCTGATACAGGTGTTACCGTGGAACTCGTGGATTCTGGTAGCGACGCATCTGTGCTTTTCTTTGAAATTTGTCCCTCAGATGGTTTTGATGCCGTCAAGTCTAACGGGAACTTTTCTGATATTTTGGACCCCACTTCTTGGTCGCAGTCTTCTTTTTTAATGCAGGAGCCGTTGTTCCATATGGGGGCTGTTCTGGGGCATTCACACCCGCGTCTACATAGGGCTATACAGCCCATGTCTTTGGGTGTGTGGCAGGTGAGGGTACAGGGGGAGCCGCACACCTTCCAAACACGGCCACCTGTGCATTCTTCACGCACTGGATGCAAAGAAAAAACAGTTTCTATACTATAAAAACAGTGATAACAACAGTTTGTGGCAAAATCTCTCTCTCTCTCTATCACTCTCTCTTTCTCTCTCTCTCTCACACACACACACACACTTACACACACTTACACACACACACACATATCACCATCATCATCATCATCATCAATGACCAATAAAGATCATTGTATATACATGCACGCACGCGCCCACACGCATTACATTTATGGAATCTTGACATAGAGTTTAAGAGGGAAAAGACTCTGACACAGGTTGAACATGCATTCCAAAACATGCTGAGTAAATGTGCACGGCTAGATGCCTTTAGGATTCAATATTCTTCCTACCTGGCTCGCATACCGTCTTGTTCTCCTTATTACACGGCAGGTCCACACATGTTGAGACACATTTGAACCCGGGAGGGCAGCTATCACTCTGCAAGACACATCCATAGACAACACACTTTAATTGTTTTATTTTTTTTAGAAAGAATCTTTCGTTAAATTGTGCACGTGGCATTTATAATTTAAATGCAAAATTTTTAATGAGTGTCATTGAATTACGCTTTTTATCGCAATGTTCTTTATTTGCGCCAAGGGTTTTTTCAAAGTACATACGTGCAACTTTTGCATCACCTTGGCAATTTATTTTTCTTCAAAAATTCCATAAATTCATTTATTTTTTTAATGGCGTAACTAATGGTGAAACAGTACAGACAAAATATTTTCACGGCATACTTACCGTACATCTGAAGAAGCGAGATATTACGGAGGCAGTCTAAAATGAAATACAGTTCACTGTATTATGTAAACTTCATCGTCAAACCTTCATATGTGGACGACTTTTACACCCTGACAGTCAGCTTGTATGATTTAAGTATGATTTAAGTTAACAGCGCCAAGCACAAACGCTTATTTGGTGCTGTTAACTTAGTAGTTAATACACCGGGATAACGTATGTAATTGGCGGGGTGAGCTTCGATCAAACCCTCCTAAAGGTACTTGTGAAACTTAAGAAATGACAGACGTAAGCTCTGAAACTAAACTGTTTGTCATATAATACCACAGACAACACTTTTCAAAATAAGTAATGGATAGTGAAAAGGCAAAAAGTAGGTACGCATGGTAAAAAATGTATTTGGTGTCCAAATATTGAGAAAATGGTCATCATACTTTGACTTAGATTTTTATGTTCATAGCACTTTGATAGAATAACTGACTGGGAATTTTCGAAACGTTGGATCAAGCATAGTTGATTTAATGCCCAGAGGTAAAAAATAAATTTTTAGGGTGTAGCGAGTTTGCGCTCTCGATTATCTCCGAAAAAAAAGATGACGGAGCTTGCTGTGTCCTCAGCAAGTATTATTACAATTGGACCACGAAATTGCGGTAATTCGGTGATCACTATCACGATTCACAAACGGTAGTTTCATGTATACAAAAATTTTATTTTAGTCAAATTATTTTATCATTATAAAATATTACTGTGAGTTGTCATATATAGTGACAGTTAAAATATAAATGATATAATTATGAATGAAGAGCAAATAGTTATTATTATAGACGTAGTATCTCACACTTTAGCTATTCCCTTTCCATATTTAACACATAATCATTATTAATGGCAAAATATGATTGCACACTACTAAACCAAGTTGAAAGAGCCCTCCTGTTCCAACAAGTACACATATACTGCTACAGAAATAAACCGTAATGATGAACACACGCTGTATTAGTGTTCTGTATACAGTAGTCTGAACATTTGAAAAAATATTTTTTTAAATGGTGGTTAATATAAAAAATCTTTCGTCCAGAAAACCCAATATAATAATAATAATAATAATAATAATAATTATTATTATTTTTATTTATTTATTTATTTATTTATTGAGAGGATGTTTTATTTTGCAGGTTTCCTATACAACAGTTGAATGAAACACATGAAAGTTGTTGACTCACCTGCGATAGTTCTATCACATAAACCACCAATACGACCATCCATACAACAGCATTCATTTTTACTGATGTGTGTTTTTGGTCTATTCCCCATTTATGTCTGATTATTTCGATGGCCTTTGCCCAATGGGGATTTGGGCAATCTTCATGACGGCCATAATGTGAAATTGAATTTGGTTATCGCGTGTGATGAAGGGACCTTTTCTGGTTTAAATTAAACAATTGCCTTGTAATTTAGACTTAATTTCCGGTTCTGGGTATATGACAAGGAAGGGCATTTAGAAAAAGTGAATGGGAAATGTGGAACGTTATTTTACTATAAAAATATTATTTTGAAAGGCGGCATGACTCGTCATTTGTATTTGATCCCTGAAATTTTTACGGAAGGGACTATATCTCCTTATTCATAATAATAGCTGTTAAATGTTCATACTAAAGTCGACCCTTTCCATAAAAAGACTTATTATGTATTCACCAGAGAGCTGAACTAATTTTGGGAAATCACCGTGTAGTGTACACACTATGATGTAAAAGAGGCTAATAGAATACATATCTATAGACAGACAGACAAACCCAGCATCTCCATCTTTTAAGAAAGGGAGAAAAACATACCGTGACACACGAAGAGCCATGTTTTGTAAACTTCAGGTATTGTTTTGGGGTTGGGCCAAAAAACTGAAAGATTAACTTCAATAGCCCCCACCCCCCTTTCTCTAGGTCCTGGATTCCCCAGGGACTGACTTATGAGATACGTCCCCTCCAGTGGGAACTCCCAGAATTACGCACATTAGCGTTATTTCTGTTGAATTCCCTTGATATAGATTATTGAACGTATTTTCCCCTCACATTTCCTTAATTAGACTGCCAAGCCCAAACATGATTTACTGAGCCATCGGCTATTTACTAAAATTAGCCTTCCGAACTTGCAAATAGCTGGTTGCATGTCGGAGTGTAGGCCCTACGTTAAAAAAGTACAAACTTGGTCAGATAATCGAAAAAAGACATGTCTGTACTTTCTTATTAACGAAATGACAGGGAGTTAACATGAGCGTATCGGATGCCACATTCTCATGACGTTTTTGTGACAATAAATAGACAGACAAGTAGTAGGCCAACATGTAATACAACCAGTGCATGTTGTCATGAAGATTGAAGTTTGTTAAAGAAGACTTATGTTGTTACCCC